GTGTCTCTGAACCAGACTGACCGACACAACAGCACAGCGGCGGGATGAACCGGGCAGCCTTCTTGCCCACGAGGCTCTTGCCCTGGTCCTCTGCAGCAGCAATCCGCTTGATCTCCGAACGGCCACCAACAGCACTGCTGTAGCCTCGGTGAAAGACAAAGAGCTCCAAACAATCGAAGTGTCGCCAATTTCGATCTCTCTTAAGGCGACGACGATCCTCGAAGGGCTGCTCTGCAGCCTCCCACGCATGCAAATTTGGTCGCCGTCTCTCTGAGCACTTTCCGCGGCGCTTTCTTCCTTTTGGCGCAGCACCCGGGCCTTCGGCTTCGCGCTGGGCGCGCTGGGCGCGGAGGCCGAGGCCGCGGAGGGCGCCGAGACCGAGGCTGCCGAGGGCTTTGCGCCCTTGATCACTGCGGCGAAAGCCTCCAAAACTCCAAAACACTTCGCAGGGCTGAATCGCAAGCCGCATCGCCCGCTTGCAAGCGCTTCGGATCGTACCTCCTGAGCCATGCAGGTGCCCAGCCATCGCTTCGTCGCCCGAGGCAGCGAGGTGGCCAGCCCCTTCCAGTGAGACTCAAGCTGAGAGCTAGCGCATTGCAGCGCTCTCTTTGCCGGCCTGCGACTGCAAGTTGTGCAGAGCGACGCTTAGGGAAGCATCTGCAATCGTAAAGCGCTGCCCGACCAGGAACACCTTGGTGCAAAGCAGCACGCTTGTGTCTTCCGGAGAACTGTGAAATCGCTCGTTCTTCGTGGTCCAACGAATCTGCCCCATATACCATAGCACGCAAAACGGCTTGGACCGCTGTTCCTTCTGTCTTTGGACAGCATGAACAGGGCTCATGCCTGATCGAGATTATGATCCGCAGCAGCATGTGCTGCTAACTGCCTTGTGCTGTGCCGAATGATCCTTCTGGAAAAGAGCAGAAAACAGCACATCGGCGAAAGGGTGAAACACAGCCAGAGAAGCGCAGCGCCGAGCCCCACTGTACAAAATGCGAGGGATAGAGTACCACCAATCAGAACCAACAACGCGAATGCCAGAAAAATCAAGAGCGACTTCACATACTCGCAGCAGCCTCTCCCTTTAGGCGGAAAGTGATCGCACAAGGCAGCTATGATCTGAAGACACATCGTAAACCACAGAACATCGTTAGCGATGACATCTCCAATAAACCGCGTCACGATGCTTATCAGTGGCGCACCTGCTTTCCACATGCCCAGACACTCTTCCAGTCCTGCCGAAACAAGCGCTGTTGCCACGAGAAAGGAGTAGGCTACGGGAGCACTGCTGCGATGAATGCCGGCCACCATCTCCTCGAACAGTTGGCCTCGCACGTATTCGTTGAATTTCTCGGGCGTACCATACCATTCTGTTATGGCGGCGTGGATGAACTCTTTGTCAAACTCGCTGCGACAGTCCGCGTTCCGAACGTCGAACTGGGAAAGGTCCTTCAACAGCTTACGCTTCTCCAGCGAAAAGTAACGTAGCAGGTGGACCGCAATCATAGCAGGCAGCGTGCCGAAAACAAAAGAAGCCATCTGAAAACTCCCGTCATATTCGTCGGTAACCAAGGTAATCTGGTGCACCATGGCTCCACAGTAAGTGCTGGCCCACAGGATCAGGATGCAGGCTTCAACGAATAGTGGTGTCATCGAAATCTTTCCAGCAGGGTTGGCCATTCGGTAGGCAGCTAGCTCAAACACGCACCAGAGCCTGCCGACAGGGCATTCAAAAGCACGAAAACTTTGTTGCAGGGGTACCGTTCCGTTGCTGGCCACCGTGCCCTCAGTGGCCTAAAATCTACGGTGACCGCCCAGCTGGTCTGCGAAAGCCTCCAGCTGGGATCTTCGATCTTACTTACCCCCTGGATCTCCCAGCTTCGTGAGACATGTTACCAAAATAGCGGTGTGTGTAAGCACCTGGGCTATGCAGAACCAACAGTAAGCGCGCAAGCAGCTGCCTAGATGCAGGGTACTAGTCGGTTATGTGAATCAATGGCTCGACGGTCTGCAACGATGGGGTTGCCAAGCGCAGAAGGAGCCGTTACGATTTCAGACGTTTGCCCCCCCCCCCCTGTTCGGATGGCAAGGAGCTCTGGCTTCCTGTTTTGCTAATTGGACCCGAGCAAAATGCAAAACGTGGTTCTGGCTCTGATCTGGCTGTGTGAAGACATTCCGCTATGTAAAGCACCGGCCTTGACAAGTACGGCGGACTCCACAAGACTCGAAGTTCCCGAGCCACCGTCAAAAATCCACCAAGGCCATAAATTCCACGCTCCATGAGGACTGGATCCGTCTGGTGGATGCTCACCTCCAGGAGTGCTAGCAGTCGCTATCACCTATTGAAAACGAGTGCCGCTGCTGCCATAACCTGCATAGCTAGTGCAACTAGTGTTCCATAATTTCTAGATCCTTTGGGCCAGGACTGAGGCAGCACGACTCAAGACCCTCCAACAGCCATGTGACAACATCGAAGAAGCACGTTCCCGAGCTGCTCAACCACGTGGGGATATATGCCGACAGTAGGACGCCAAGCGTCGTTCCAACGAAGCCAAAGACAATAACCCAGGTTCCCAACGGACAGGTTGCTTCGAAGCCAGCCACGTTCATCTCCACAATTCCCGTCATTGGCAGAATATCAGAAGTGCAGAGAAACATCGCCAAGCAGACCGAATAGGTCCAGGACCATAAGGCAATCTTCCAACTAGACTGCATGAGCAGGGCCAAGATCTTCCAGTTCCCGGAAGTCTGCCAAGTGTGGGACAAAAAAATATCAAACCCGTCCACTGTTTTCGAAAGATTCCAAAGCTGCTGGCGCTCGTCCTGGGGGAGATCGATCGGGGAACAACGCCATAGACTCCCACCCCGCTGAAATGTCTTGCGCAGCTCAATACCTCGGATGATCTCTTTGTCTACGACCAGGTGGCCCATCTTCTGCAGGCGGCTCCTTTTGGACGGTGGTCGGTTGTCTTCCTCCTTGCCTTCCTGAGCACTGTGAACAGCTGGGGCCACCATCGTGTGGCCATGCCCAGCGCCCACCACCTTTCCGCGGCCCATCTGATCTTGGGAGGTGCCCACATCCGGGTCAGCTTGGCAATGGAGGACCTCAGGTTGAATCACTTCCACCGGGGGATCCTCCTCCTGACAGCAGCTGGCCTTTGATCCCATTCCGCACGGGAACGCGGCACATACATACCTCTGAGCCCATACTGCCAGGTTTTAGAGTTGAAGCAAAGCGCCAACTCGAACAAATCTGCTGCTTGGCTCAGCTAAGGCCCTCGGGCGAAGGCTCGCTGATCCAAGTGCTTCTCCAGAGTTTCAAGAGCCTCGTGCCAGAGCCAAACGCTCCAAGATTAACGGAGAACAGGCCACTGCAAGGAGCGGGTTACTGCAATTTTCAGAAGTCCCTAACCCCAAAACCCTAAAGCCCAAAGCCCTAAAACACTAAACTTCCTAAACTGGGAGCTTCGGGCCCGCTTTCCCCGCTTTCGCCTGCTCCATCTGCAAAGGTGGGTTGGCGAGCTCCATCTCACCCCAGTCAAGCCACGAGTCCACCTTTCCAAAATTCATATCTTACACTATCTTATACTATACTGTATGTACTATACTACACATACTACACTAGAATACCGTGACTAGACTGGACTAGACTGGACTAGACTGGACTAGACTGGACTAGACTGGACTAGACTAGACTAGACAGGACTCTGACTAGACGGTAGCATACCGTAAAATGCCATACTATACTACGCTATTCTTTACTATAGTTTCTCCTCTATACCATCATATTGATTAGATTATCTCCTACTCAAATCTTGCAGCCCAGACGGGCCAAGCCCCTGCCTCGGCAGACTCAAAGAATGTGCTTCCGTACACCTCGCAAGGCGCCACTTGCTGAAGTTCCAAGCTCACTAAACCACTCTGCCTCCACGCCGTCGTAAAATCTGCCGATAAAGCGCAAAATTGCGTTGGCGTACCTGGTAGCACACGCTTTCAGACAAGCAGGCGGCCACGGGGACCAGGCGGGTGGGACAAGGAACGCTTCGAAGGCGCACCGAACGCATTGCTTGTTTCCTGCGACTTCAAGACGAATTTCTGGTGGCCCAGGCGTCTTTGGCGCCTGGAGGGCAGGAGCCCATGAATGATAGGGCGGGCAGCTGTCAACGGCAGGCTGCTGCGCACACCAGTTACACTAGATCCTGAAAAGCCGGAGCCATCGGCCTCCAGGCGCAAGTCTACGCCGGCCGCATGGGCGGCAACAAGAATCTTCTGCGTGGAGACCTGAGAAGATCTGAGAGGCATTCTCGGCCCTTCTCCAAGCTTCTGTCCTGCGAGTTTGTCTGAGATCTCCACGTCCGAAGGGCTGGCCACGAGGCACGGAGCACCTGGCAACACGGCAACGTCTTGAAAGCCAAATTCTGCGACTTCTGCAAAGCGCTGCAAACTGCGCAAGCATGGCCCGGCATGGTGGCCACGCTACCGCCGCTACGCTACCGCTCTTCCAGAAAGCCCAGAAAGCTGCGAAGGTCCGACGGGGAGCTTTCGAGTTGTGGGCAACGTCTTGCCTTGCATAACATATGCTCACTTCGAGACCATCCTTCTGCGTGGCCTGCGTGGCGTGGGCGCAACGCGGGGTTCACATCGATCTGCTGTGAAACATCTACTCCTGGGCACATCGACTCCTTCCAGCCGAATGATACTTCTCGTAAGCAGCGGGCTATCTCCCCTATCTATGTGCCTGGGGCGCAGAGCATTTACGCTGAAGGCCGAAGCCATGGGAAAATGAAAGACACCTACATTCTGGCACCTCGCAGCTTCATGCGGCACATCGCAGAAATGTCGGTATCTACCGAGGCTATTTGCCATCCAAGCCCAGAACGCCACCCAAAATCAGCAGCCTCTTGCCACAAGCTTGAGGCCACCCGGTGCTGTAACTGGCTCTGGGTCAGAAAGGCGCAGGTGCCAGAATCGAAAAGATGCCTCGAGCAGCACACGCTGCATCACGTCGCTTTCTTTCCCAACATCACTTCTTTGGCCTTCAGGGTACTACACTAGCTCTGCAGAGTGCCACAACTCCCGAGCGCCTCATTGATCTTGGAGGCGATGTATGTGGATCCACCCTTGTCGGGATGGTTTGCGATCAGCAGCCTGCCACGAAGTATGTGCACCTTCCTTCTGAGAGTGCCGGATCCGGCCTCCTGTGTGCTTCTCGCACTGCATCCTTGTTTGGGGCCATGGAGGACAGATTCAGAATCTGCCGTGCCTGCAGAAGACCGAAAAAAACACCCCTTAGCCAGCGCTTTCGCGTTGGTGGGGCCTCTGCGCGAGTCATCGGTGCCTCGAAGCCCTGCAGGCCACTGCTGAAAGCTCCGAAACCGCCAAAGGCTGGCATCTTGAAGTCCACCTGTCGGGGGGGAGGAAAAGTGGGAAAGAAGGCGGCAAAAGTTAAGGCAAATCTCTTTTGCCGCACGGCCCTTGCCTTGACCCCAGAGGCCCTTACGGCCCTCAGACCCTGCCGAGCAGCCAGAGCGCCCAAACCTGCAGCGGAACGGGCCCAAACCCTGCCTGCCCCTGGCTCACTACCGCAGCTGACGCGGCGCTGGCCTAGGCCTCCCAGAAGCAGAGGCCACATACCTGGGGTATAGGATTTTTCACGAGCTGAGGTCTCCAGAATCTCGCTGAGAGCATCTCTGAATTTACTTGGCCGTGCACTGAATGCCTGTGACGGCACAGCCTCCGACACCTTGGAAGCCCTTGGCTTCGAAGTGCCTCGGCAGCGAACGTGGACTCCCCAGGACTGGCAGACACACATCGCGCAGCATTGACATCCTACTGACATCTACTGGTTCTAACGAATGTAGGCATCATTGCCAGTTCACCACGAACACTAACACGCGGCGTCATGTTGCAAGCGATTCCACCCAGATTTTGACTTCGCCTGTAGAGCAAGTCTGGCCAGACATGGCCTTTCTGGTCACGAACCCCTGTCGAGGATGACCCAGGACTTTGACATGTACGGATGCCATCTTGGAAGCACCGTAACCTCTACAGACGGTCGCTGCTTTCTCACACTCTTCGGATGCGTGCTGCTGCGAAGCCACGAAAGTCCTGCCCGGTCGTGCCCATCAAAAGAGATGCATGCTGATGGGCCTTGGCACGCCTACGCATGCTGGAAGATTGGTGTCGCGGTATCGTAGAGAATGCCGCACCTGGGCAGCTGTGGTCTTGGAACTTGACAAGCTAGACTGTCCGGTGACCTACCCTCAGCCGCTCAGCCCTGGACATGCCACAAACCGTCACCTGCTGGGGACCACCGTCGCAGCCTGTTCCCAGCTCCGGCTGGTTGTCTGTTCCACACCAGCTCTCCTTCCACGCACACGGCTCTCGCACCCAGTGATTCCGTGATACGCTCCAGATCAAGCAATCCTCCTGATCAGTGCGAAGCAGGCGGATAGTGCCATCCTCACCGAAGTTCTTGCCCCAGGAATTGAGAATCCTCCAATACTTCTTTCCCAGCTCGACGTCCTGCAGCGAACTCCAGCCGTACATTCCATCACAGACCAAGGCGAAGACCCAGGACCGGAGTCCTTTCCGTAGCCGGTGAGGGTGACAGCATGATCGATGATCACGTCCTTGCTGCAGTAGTCGAAGATGCCCTTGAGATACAAGTCCCATGAATCCGCACCTCGCTTTTGCGAGAGTTGCCACACGCACTTCAACTCCCTGTCGCTATCGCGACTTGGCTGGGGCTGGGCCCCGCACTGACAGAGACCGCAACAGGGCCATGTTGCACCAGGGCCCGCATCCTCATGCTGAACGACAGCTCGACACAGCGACTCTCATAGAGTCCTTTCACCCGTCTGTCCGAGGAGCAATGGCAGATACTTGTTCTCCGGCAATTTCTCCCAACCTGGAAGCCATCTCCGACGCCACAAAGCAGTAGCACTGCTTCCGAGAACTCAGACACCCACCGTGGATTCCCAGAGTCTGCAGTCCCACAGAATTGGCTTTGGCTTTGCGAACCTGAGCAGGCTGCTCGCACTGACAGCACTGGAACATTGAATTCATCGTCCTCCCGAGGCACAGACACCGGATGCTGCAAGATCATCAGATCCCGACAGCTGCAGAGCTGCCACGGCTCCTGAGCTTCGAGTCCACTCGCAGTGAGATTCGCAAGACACCACAGCACCCACGTTTGCCAAGGCTCCAGTCTGGCACTGATGATCAGCTCCTCTCAACACAGCAGCCCGCTTGGCAGCCCGAGCCCTTTCTGTGCTACCACTGGCCCTGGTCCTTCGTATGGCACTTGCGCCTCCTCAGCTCGCATCCAGCTCGGTGTGACGAGGTGAAGGCTCTCCAGAAGGCCCGCGACAGTGCGACTACAGCAGAATTATACGCGATAGTCTATAGCTCCCCAAGTCCAGAAGGAGGGATGATATCCCACAGCGATGCAACGCGGTCCAGTCTTAGCCTAGCCCCACTGTTGTAGGCGGACTTGCTACACACCCGGCTGCTCGTCGCACGCATGGTCGCGGCTTTCAGTTCCAAACAACCTCCTGCGGGGCCTATGATGGGTGACCCTGCACGATTATTCACGACAGTTTTCAAGCGTCCCTTCCATAACAATCAGTATGAGATGTTGAATTCACAGCAATCCCGCACACCAGCACAGAACACCAACGGTTGAATCGAACTACACATTTGTGACGTCGGGATTCGGTCGCCAGCCCATTCTGGACGACGTAGGCCATCGCGAGCTCCACGGTAGCTCCAGCACAACCACCGGTACCGCCGCAGTTCCTTAACGCGTCTGATGTGCAATGCAAACCTGAATGGAATGTCTGACCCGTCTTGCTGCCGTGTCACCGAGGATTCTCCACACCTGGGTGCAGAGAAGTGCATGACGTTCAGTACTTTTGTACAACAGCTCCTGGATGGTCCGGGGTTCGAAAGCCTGAAAACTGCATCTCGCAAAAAGCTCATATGCTGCCGCTTTGCAGTTCACCAAATGCTGGGCGGAGAGTTGCTCCTAGCATTTCAGCTCATCTTCCCTGACTCCCACGGTCCGTCGAAGAGGTGTTAGGGTGCACGTGGCGGTATGTGATGGTAACCATACATGTCGATAATTTTGGTCGTTCTGTACAGGCACATATTGCTACTGTGATCTTGCGTTGTTATACTTGCTGCATGTGAAGTTCAGCCAGCTAGTGTCATCATACCAAACCATAAGCCTTTTTCTGGTGCTACGAGTAGAAGTCCAGCCAGCTACATCCGCAGCACCGATCTTCAAAAGGCTTATTCATTTTACTACATTCTACGTAGCAGTTTTTTCTTACGATAAGCCCTACATCACACTTGAGAGCAGCTATCTGCCACTTGCGCAATCGCGGGGCGGGCGCTAGCTACAACTCAAACGAACAGAATGTCTGGATGAATTTTGGGACAGCAGCGATTTCCGGCCACTGTGCCGAGCCTATGTCCAAGCACTGGACTCCCGAGCAGGGGTTGCAGCAGCTCTCGACGGTCAGAAAAACAAGTTCCCGTGCTGAATTGCAAAAGCCCAAACTAATCCCAGACTGTGAGTTTAAGAAGTATGTTGAAGTCTGTTTGCACAAAACGAGCCAACACCATCCGCATCAGCAGACGCCCGCTGCCCCTGACAAACTCGGAAATGGGTCTGCGGGGGCAGGCCCGAACCAATCCCGGTCCACCCCAATAAGCATCGATTTGGCCAGATTTCTGGGCCCCATGAGGCAAGCTTCAAACAACAGCTCCCAAAAAATCTGTCGTGACCATCTGGCATCAAATCTGCTTCAAACTGTTACATTGTGATCTGACACATGGCAGCCCGGGAATTCCGCGATAATGTACCACTATGCCCTACTGCAACTGCATGCTGCAATTGCTAAGCACTGATTTATGCAACTGCATACATATATATATATATATATATACATATATATATATATATGTACACGTACAGCTATATCTGTCTACATACAAAAACAACTATCTATACAAATATCTATACGAATATCTAGGCAACTATAAATATAAGTTTATATATATATATATGCTATATATATATATATGTATGGATGTATGTATGTATACACGGCTTCATATGTGCTCCTTTGTAGTTTCAAACGGTGCGAAACGTTCAATACTATTCAGTGCTGTCGTCCGCTCATTTTTGATATTGCTTCTGCACGAAATTGTCTCCTTACACAAATATGTCTCATTTCTGCTCTTGCACGTCCGTGAATCATGTCCGCAATGCTACAATGACAGCACCGTGCTGATGGTAAACTACAAACAAAAACGTGTTGTAAGCCCCGGGCAGTTCCAACACATACCTGAAACACTCATACTAGCGGTACCGTTGTACCACTTTTGAAGTCTGAGCATTTGTCGTGGACATGTTGTACGGGTACTATTTGGACACATACATACATCTCTCATATGCTTCATATACATGCACCTTGCAAGTACAGATCGTATGTGTCAAGCTGTATGCGTTATATGTGATTATGTAACTTATGTATCTGTGTGTGTATGTGTCTATATACAGCATGTACGTAGAATGTCATATCCGGGTCCTGCTTTCCGAGATAGATCTCCCGGTGCGCCTCGAGCACTGTGGCCGAGGTCACCTGGCTGCTGACTACAAATCAAAAACTATTCTTAGTATTGCTAAGATAAATACATCAGAAAATGTATGTATACTGTATGCGTACATAAATCCGAATGCATTGAACATGGACGAAGGCCGGAACACGGCAACGACAACGACACAACATGTCCACTGATAACTGAGTGCCCACCGCCCAGCAGGATCCACAGCCGCCCTGGTCTTTGGCCTGGTGGAGCACAGGCCCCTCTATCTGTTCAGCATGGTGCCTGGACTCCTCGTCTCGCTATCAGAAACCTTTTAGATGCCGGGAGCAAGCCTGACGCCCAAGGCTTGAGACTGCTAACGTGTTACAACTACGGAGCACTGGTGTTGCATGCTTTTTGCATGAATACACAATCAGCCCGACATGGGTAACTATTAGGGACAGGCCTGGCCTGCAGCATGGTCAGGTTGGCCCACTTGTTGCACTCTTCGGGAAGATCCGACTCAGACTGGAGAAGAGACATCTGCGTCCTCCCGGCAGCAGTTTCGCAGTCTCAGCAATCCGCTGCAAACCCCGGAGCTCACGCGATGCCTCAGGGCTTTCGGGCTCTTACGACCTGAAGAGTAGCTGAAAAAGTGGTCTCAGCCCTTTGCTGCAGCCTACGCCTAAGCCCGGCACTGGCGAAGCCAGCCCAGCCCTTCTTCTGACTCAGCTCCTGCGCGATTCACATGCCTTCCCTTTCCCCCGCTGTTTAAAAAGAGAGAGCACCTGTCCTCCGGCGTGAGGTCGGACAGAGGTCCCACGCCGGCAATCCACAGGTGGCCTGGCATAGCACAGTCTCGGGATTCTCTGCGAAGCGATGCGAAGCGACTGGAAGCCTGGCCTGGTCGGGAGTTGATGACCTCCGCTTTCTGGAGACGCTCGGAGAAGAGCGTGAGGCGCTTGAAATACTCATGGGTACCTTTCCTGAGATGCACGAATCTGAGGCAACTTCTGTCGAAAACTTCGAAGCTGAAAGACCTGACTTGGTCATGTAGCACGAATCACCGAAAGCTGTATGCTATACTCTTGGAAACTCACAAGCCGCTTCACTTATTGCACTTGACCTGGGCCGAGAGGCTTGTAGTGGCGCCCATGCCTGGGTTCGTGCTCAGCACGAAGTCATCCGCTTAAATACGAAATATGACCCATCATCTTCGTGTCCCTACGCCGTCATTCCCGCCATAGCTGCTGGTCAATGAAGCTATGAAAGGCAGCGATGTGGTTTCCCGGAACATGCTCCTTCACGAGGACGCCAGCAGCCAAAGAGGCGAGAATCGTGCCGCATGCGAATCGCAGCTGCATGGCAGTAGAGTGGTTCGCCTCAGCATCTACATCGAACTGCCTGCATTGTTCGCATGTATCTCACGAACGTGGTGGCACGAGCGGTCCCCGAGGAGCCAGCTAGCAGATGAGTGATAATGGGTAGGCTGGGCAGAGCTGCTTAACTCTACCACCTTTTGGGCATGAGTGGCTGCGTCGTGAACCAGATCCCATCAAGGCCAGAGCGCAAGGGCAAGTTGCGGCAAGTGTCAGAAAAACTGCACCTCCAAGGTCCAGACCTGCTGCCTTCTGGCTAGCCTTCTCAAGGAGGTTTTCCCACAAAATCGAAGTGCTTCCGCCATTTTCAGAATCCCCGCCTCCGCCGCCTCGGGCATGGAGAAAGCACCAGCCTACGCCTTCCTCTGTCTCACTGAGCCGGATATTTTTTCAGAAGTTTAGGGTTTTGGGTTTAGGGGTTTAGGGGTTTAGGGGTTTAGGGGTTTAGGGGTTTAGGGGTTTAGGGGTTTAGGGTTTAGGATTTAGGGTACTTGGAGCCCTGGCCTCCTGATTGCTTCCAGAACTTAACCCTCGGACCCTTCTTATGCCGCCATCACGGATGGATGTCCGGTTTCTTGTCGATAAGCTTGGGCCTCAAGGGCCTTCTGAGCAGTGCACATGAAATCATCTACATCGGTACAGTAACATGAGAGGAGGAACAGGTTTGTGGGACTGCGCACTGCTGGCAGAAGCCCTGAGCCAAGCGTGAAACGGTCAGAAATGGAAAAACACCGGTGGGAAGGTCGATGCTTCCGTCTTCGTCCCGCTTCTCAAAGCTGAAGTTTGTGTCACGCAGCTGCGGTGCACAGTTGATTTTCTGATCTTTCCTGATTTGAGACGAGATCCGTGCACAGATGTGCTTTTTCTTACACTGACCATTCCACTTGTACCCGTGTGAAACGAATCGTGCCTATGCATCCTCTGTCGCAGGAGGTGCTCTCATGCATATGCGCAAACCCGGCTCCACCCGACGAAATTGCTAAGCAGCTCGACAAACTTAAACATGGCAGCTGAGCTCACAGTTTCACAGCAGCCGCGGGATATGCATGGGGCAGCTAACACCTTTGACTCTGACATGCAAGTTCCTTGCTCCAAGCTTACATGGAAGGTATTCACAGCGCACCCTTTGGGCTGAAGCTTCAAAATCGCTAAGGCGACACCGCGCGTGTCATCCTGCCACCCTGCCCAGCCAGGAAGCCCTAATCTATGCTTGAACCTGGGGTACACACGTAGGCGAGGGTCTACCCGTTTGCCAGCTTTAGCTGACATCAGCTTGCTGCTTACTGAGTTACTGGGCTTACAAGTAGCCATGCTTGGGGCTACCTCTTGGCAATGTTGATGCCATGGAGGTAACATCAGTCCGAGCCGACAATCGCTCCATGCAGGGCAAAGCAAAGGAAAAGGACCTCGAATGTGTCAGATTCTCGAGTGTCCGATGAAAGGTCAGAGTCGAAAGTCTGCTTCGGCCACCGAGGCCACCGCCCCACCGGCGGTGACGACCATCCGCTCGGAGATGTGCTCGGCCAGGACACGGCCCCCGAGGACCTGCTCGCAGAAAAGACAAAAGTCTGAGGTCTGCTGGCCTCTTTGCATCTGCGTCGCGCACCGCCAGGCTCGTGCAACACGAGTGGCCAATTATGCCACCCAGCGTCACGCCCAGTGGGTCCTGCTCAGGGGCGGGCACTGTTGGGGTGGTTTTGGCTTCGCTGTCGCCTTCGCTGCAGCTAGAGCAATGGTCGAGATCTGGGAGCGGTCACCCCACTCGGCCAAGAAGGTCAGGGTCAGCGCCTGGCAAACGCTTACACGGCCCTTGGGCAACGGAGCGTGGCAACGGAGCGTTCACCGGCACCTGGGTAGCCACGGCCCAGGTCTGCTTTGCCTTGGGGCTCTGCTCCTGGGCTTGATGAGTTGCAAGATGAAACTTGGATGCTACTCTGAATGAGCATGACTCGCCACGCAACACAAGACAAGAAGGTCTCTGCAGGAGCCCTCCGGAACACATCACATTACATCTGGAAATCGCTAGCTCCTTCAGGCTCTGCTCTACCTCCTCCAGCTCTTCGCTGGGCCTGCGAAGTAGGCAAGAGATTTCCCAGTCGCGAGATTGACTTCTGGCAAAAAACTCGCAAGCCCAGGCAGCTAGGGTCGTAAGATCCACTGAGGCCTGAAGCAAAGATGCGTTGTTTTGCGCCCGGCACTATTGTCCATTTTCGAGCACGGGGAAAAGGCATGAAAGGGCTGCAATTCAGCCCCATCAGATGGCGATCGCTGCCACCTTGCAGTACTGTGAGCCTGGTGGCAGGTGCAGTTGGGGCACCTTGCCGGGTCCTGGTTGCTATAGCACAACCTGCCAACTGCTGCTTCGCAGCTGAAGCAAGCTGGAGAGTCAGACCTGGAGGACTCAGCTCAGGGAATGCGGCTCGATCGGTGAGAGCCGCTGCTGTGCCTGTGAAACCGAGGCCAGAACGTGTAAACAACTTCCACGCCCCTTCTCAGGCGTAGGCAGACCGCGTGCGCCGCCCGGAGGATCCCGGCGGAGCAGCCGGAGGACCCGCGGGGCCTGACGTGAGCTTTTGACTCCCGATGAGGCAATGCAATGCAATGCATGTGTGCTGGCCTCGGTGCGTGAAGCACTGGGCACGGCTGAAACCTGGCTCCTCCGAATCGCGAGGCCTCAGACAAGCTGGCTCCGCTTGAGAGCAAAAACAAGCCTGGCTTGCTCCGCTTGCTCTGGGTTCCTTGCGGCGGTGGCACCGGTGCCAAGCGCCGGGGAGTTTCTCCCGGCACCCGCAAGGAACCTTTCGGATGCAACTGGACCGGCCCCCAGACACGACCACGACCCCTCCTGCACAGACCACGTTGCCCAATCTTGTCAATGCGTACGTACTTTCTCGTGCGTTTTTCAGGCCATGGATGATGATGACTCAGCCGTTGCGTCGTGTGCGTGGTGTCTCAATCATCCAAGTCCCAATTCACAAGCATCTCACCTTTCCGTCCCGGTTTTGATCTGCATGTCCAAGGGGCCGCAGCGGTGTTGAGTGTTTGGGGGCCCGATCTAGGAAGAGAAATCTTGATTGGATCTTGTCTGTGGGAGAATGACGTGACTGGCCTATTAGGCATCGCAGCTGTAGGCCTTCTGAACAGGCTGAAGACGCCGCCGCGCTGCTGGGCGCGCTTCTTGTAAGAAGGATCTGCCGTCATTTCTTCACATGCTCATGCCATGCGGCACATCGCAGCACGAGAACTCACTGGCTACATGTCATCATGTCGCCTGTCCACCAAGAACGACGTCTCGCTCTGCTTCAACAACCTTTGCCTTGCAGATTCACTGCGAACAAGTGTGAAAAGGAGTTTGTGCTTTCGGTAGGCTCGGCCTGCATGGATGACAGCTTCCTCGCAAACTCGACGGAAGCTTCACGAAGCTTCTCCTCCAGAGTATGGGCACACAAGGCTTTAGAGGCAAACAGGGCAGACCGCTGCGCTGCCTCGGCTGCAGTGCGTGCTTGCCGCTCGCGTTCCAACTCAAGCTGGAGTCGAGCAGCCTCCTGGAGCCATCAGCCACCATCAAATGCCTCTAGGACTCTAGGACTAGGACTGCGCTCCCCAGAAATAGCATGCTTAGGACGCCCGCCGAAATATTTTTCCCTTACGACGCAAGCATCCTTGCCAGAATTTGCCCAGAATCGCAACAGCAACACGGTGCAACACGGGACACAAAGCGGTGCAACCAGCTAGGACATCATGCCGCAGCTAAACCCGCCACGATCGTTCTGCCGGGGTCTTCAAGCGAGTGAGAAGGTGGGCCCACAAGCACATGGAACATGGAACGTGGAGCGCTTAGGCTTAGGCTTTGAAACCCCACATGAGACTGCACAGGGAGATACTTCGGAGTGCAAAGTTCGAGTCGTCCTCCTGGGCCGCAGCAAGTTGGGCCCGCTGAGCCTCCGACAGTCGGGGAGCCCCAAGCCACGGAAAAGTGCCCTGGACGACTCGAACCTCCACGACCTCCAAAGCAGCGGTAAGCGCCCGCCTTAGACGAAAGCTGAGCTCAGCATCGGTGACGCCTCAAATGACCGAGTCACGGACTCCAGCTGCCCAACATCGCTCTGCATCTGCTGGTTCTGCTGGTGGATGTTAGTCGTCTGAGGGCCCGCAAGCACGGTGCAAGCATGAACAACAAGATAGGCATCAGCATGATAAAGTGAGCGCTGGCCTGGCATGGCACGGGGAGACATGCGGCCGGCGCAATGGTCCGTGCATCCACAATTGTTCCACAGATTTGACAATATACGATCAACGAGCCTGCATGCTAGGTTTAATCGCTGTACCGCCGTGTGTGCTGTGTGCCCAGCAGGAGCTTGCATGTTTCAAGAGATGACTGCAGCATGCCCTTTCAGATCAACTTCGCAGGCCCTTCCCTATTGAGATCTAACGGATTCACGCTGCACCAAGACTTCGCATGATGAGCCAGGCACCCACAACCACTTCCGCTGCGCAACATCTGAAGAGCCTTCCGAGATTTCTGAGCAGAAAACAGCTGGCAATCAGCGGAGGGGCTGGGGCCTCCCAAAGGAGCTTCAGACCGAAGTACACGAAGAGCGCCACAGCGGCCCAATGAGTGTACCTTGGAGAGGGGGAGCTCTGCATTGCGCAGCGTGGCGCAGGGTGGGCTCGGCTGAGACTTGGGCTTTCTTGGCATCAGCTTGGGGAGGACCAGACCGATGGTGGCACTCAAGGCCTTCATTTCAAACCACGTCTGTCAGGCCACAGCACCGCATCATCTCAGCCCCCGACGGTCATTGCAGCCAGCGCGCCTGCAGACCCGAAGAATACGGCCAGCCGGTCCTGAGACAACTTCTACCACCGCATAAAACACACAGTGCGCAGCACAACATGCGACAAGTGACAAGGACATGAAGTCTGCTTGGGACAGCACATGTCTCATTGCGAGCAACGCAGCAATGAAGAATGTCTTGTCACCTTGGCAAAAGAGAGAAGTCCGGTTGTACGGTGCAGCAACGCTCAAGACCTGATCTGCGTCTCATGTAAGTTTCTGCGCGAGAGCATCTGAAATCCCTCGCAGATGTTCTGAGCGCCCTTTTGAAATCTGCGGGTGTTGTGGAAGACCTTCTGGACTTGTTTTCGAAAGTCCTGGAAATCTCGGCTGCGGCCATGCTGCCTGTTGTGTCTCAGGCCAACCCTCGGTGGACTCTTTGCCAAGGTCTGCACGACACTCTGGCTTGGCAGAGTGAGGTAGAGCTGCGTGAAACACTTGACGAGGGACCCACGGACGAGATGCACCTCCCAGATCCTGTCGCTGTCCACCATGCGTCAATGTGAAGCAAATTCTAAAGCCTCACCCCACCGAACATCTCCTCTGAGACTGTTTGGAAAATCTTGCGGAATTTCATCGCCCGGAGGTTGCTACCCTTGCTGCTGATGCCCACCATTTGCAGAACCGCAGAGTTGAAGTGGGAGTCTTCTCCCAAGGTGCCACCCTGTATCTCAGCTTTGTCGAAGCCTTCTCCGGTGACCCGGTGAACACTCGAGGCAAAAGCTTCCGATGGCCGCGGACCGATTGCATCAGATAGCCATGACGCACGGCGCCATTTCCATGAATGCTCGCGGCATGTTGATCGCTGGCTGCAATTGTAAAGCAGATGGCAGCTTGCAGTAATTTCTGAGGAGCTCCTGCGACATGCTGCGGCGGCTGCTGATGATGAGAGGGTCGACTGTGCCCTCAATGAGCCATTCTGAATTTGTTCTTGGAGCTCCACGAGCTCGCCCCCTCGAAGCCATTCCGATCGCACTGGTAGTCTAGCATAGACTGGCGGATCTGCCTGAAAGCCGCAGGTCTCAAGAGCTGCACGAAACTAGCGAAACCGGCACGACACGTCTGGCAAATGACTCAGCTTGCGACTCTTCGCTGCACATGACCTCAACTAAGGCATCTTCTGTTCAGTGCCCAACAGTTCCCGTGACCAACACTTCAAGAGCACAGGCCGACCCTCTGCGGCCAAGGGGCAAAGGGTCCCTGCCACACGACCGGTTCGCGCAAAGGCTTCGCCGCACAGAGGAAGAAGGAAGCTTCGGAAGATCCCGTGCGAACGGTAACACCTTGCGCCACAGGACAACCGAGACTCATCCCTAGTAACATTGCCCGGCAAAAGACTCTGGTGCCGCCAAAGTGCCGTCTTCCCCAGGAGCGGCACTGAGGACGAGGCAATGGTTCGCATCTGCCGTCACATCCGCAACCAGAACTTGGCCCAGAAGGGTGTAGATGAAGGCTGAATGTCCTTCTGGAATCAACCTGGGCTTTCGACACGCTGCGAGCAGGCTCTGTTTTGCTGACATTTGAAGCTCACAACGAGAGACTGGTGGAGGAGCGCAAAGGGCTCCATGGTGAAGTGGACCCTCGAGGAGAGTCCGCACACGAAACCACTCTGCTGCACTCCAGTCTCGCAGAGAATTGAAAAGACAAGGCTCGCCAACCCAGGGCCATGGTGAGTGCCCTCCTGGCAGTGCCCCAAAGCCTCTGCAGATCGGGACCCCCGCCCTTTCGCAGCGGAGAGTGCTTAGCGGCTTAGCCCCCAGCCCAGCGCCTTCCCAGCCAGGATGGCCGCGGTGATGCCCGGCACGGCCACACGCAGCTGCTTGCCTCGGGGCAGCTCCAAATACCTCAGCTCCGCACACTCACAGAATCACAGAACAAAGCAAAGGCAGGCTGCCGCAGGCCAGGGCACCCAGGAGCAACCATCTTCTCCTGGCCCGTGCGGAAAGAGCCAAGCATGGTAAAGCTCATTAAGAACCTATAACGTGGCAGAAGGCGCGGCGGTACATGAGCCTTGCAGCAACACAATGCCTTCTCTTCAGAGAGTCAGGTGAACACAGGAAGCCGGTGAAACCAGCGTTACTCTGTGAAGCAGTCGTTGAGAGGCACGACGACTATCTTGGCCCTGCTTCATGCTACACAAGTCTAGAATGTTTGCGTTGTCCTGCTCAGGCAGATTGATCCACATCTGAAGCCCCCGTGCGAAGAAGCGGCTGTCAGGCACCTTTCGATGCGCAAAGCGAAATCCAGTGTCGCAAAACTCGATGTTGAATGCAGCTGCTGGCCCTGCCTCGGAGTGTAGGATCCCGCGTCCACAGGTCATCCACTGTGCATCGCCGGGCTGAAGAATGCCTGCATTGCCTGCAGATGTGTTTTTACAGGATTGTATCCGGCCATGGAACTTGCTCACTGCTCCCTGCCTAGGAAATCCTCGTGCGAAAGGGCTCCCGGAGAAGACGGCAGCAGGTAGGTCATGGTGATAAAGCCACGATGGGCATGATCCGGAAATCCGTCTGGCAGTGCCACGGTGAAGTCCTCGGAAACCACCGAAAAATCCTAAACTGGGGTATAGATCGGTGATCTATCAGACCCCGACATCAAGGGCCAGGATGGGGTCCAGGTCGGCAGAATCCTTCGCAAGACTTCCACACTCAAAAGAACTACCAGTTTGCGGTCGTTGGCGAAGCCGTCCTGCGAATCCGGACGTATGGGCCGTCTCACGTCCGTGGTGCCACCACCGGACTGCTCGTGTGCGAAGGAGCTGCGAAGAACTTGCCTTAACTCGTGCAACAAATCGCAGCTGAGCGACAGCAGCAACCGACCCTCGAACATTTCCAGTCTCCACCTGGGTATGTCCGGAGCATCTGGCATCGTCCCGGGAATCCAAACATCAGGGGGCACCTCGGCCACCTTCCCAACAGGTCAGTCAGTCAAGAGCTCTTCCAGTGCAGGGTCTGTCCCAAGCCCAAGTTGCCTTCTCAGGTGGATCACCCCGAGTTCTGCGGCTCAGCTTAGAAAGCCACCACCTGCATTCAACTTCGATTTTTGGCAAGCGATGTGCACCGAGAGGAATGTGAGAAACTGAGCCGAGTACATGTGCAAAGCTGTCGAAGCTTCGATGCAGAACGTTTGCCAGCATGTAGGTAGACACCCGGGTGTTCAAACACCAGCTGCGAGAAAGCAGGAAGCTTCAACCGCGCTTCAACACGAGTCCACTCACCGGCTGCACTACTTCGTTGCCGACGATTGCAGCTGCTTGAGCCATAAAGGCCGAACACATCGTCAGCATGCGACCAAACGTCTCTTTTGCTGACTGGCGACAGCTTGAAGGCTGCTCTGGCTCTTGGGCCGTCACCCAGCTCGGTGACCAAGATCATTAGGAAGCTGTTGCTGAAAGCCTCGCTGAAGGAAATCTCTCCTCTTAAAGGGCGGACCTTTCAGCCAAGCCTTTCCCTTTGCTCTCGCCTCCTGCAGGGTTCCCAGCTCCGCCAGGTCGCTGGCTACGTCCAGTCCAGTGGAATTCCTGGCGGTAGATAGCCGGCTTTCCAACAAGGCTCGTTACGCTCGTATCTGCTCATATCTGCTCATTCGGGCCCCCCGAGCCCGGCACACCGCCATATTCTGCCTGACAGACGCTTGGTCGAATGAGGACTTTGGAAAGAGTTCTAAGGATGCCCGGGCCGTGCCGCATGTCGTGCGATTTCCCTTTCACTCCAGACAGGAGTGAACCTGACTTGGAGGCGTGTGCCTTCTAGGGCCTTTCCGTTTCGTCTCCTTTCGGGATCCGACGAATTGGTCTTAGGCAGAGGGGGCCGAAAGAAACTACTTCCCTTCTACAAAAGAGATGGCAGTGGGAAGGTGAGGACGGTGTGAACCGATGGGAGGCGGCGTGGGGGCGGTGAGGGCGGTGTGGGGCGGTGGGGCGCTCATTCCTTGCAGGGCTCCATAAGTGCAGCTTGTTCAACTATGGATAGACTAAGAATGCAGCGAACACAAAAGCCTGACACAACACATCACCTCGAAAACGCTTGCATATGTGCGAGCAAGTCATTCGTGGCGACATGGGCTGTTTGCTGCTTGAGCTCCTGCTCAAGGGCGAAAGAAGTCCCTTTCTCATGGCCTCCACGTCAAAAGCTGAACAACGACCTGTACTACCCTGGCTGGGATCTGGCTGCTAGCACATCACGAGCCAGACACGGAACAAGGCAGACAATCAGTTTTAGTCGTGCCCAGATGCACAGAAGAACACAAGCACCGACAAGACAAAGGCTTTTACAGGTTTTGATGAGCACAGGACATCTGGCGCAGGGTTCGCGGAAGCTGTGCCTCAGCCCTAAAGCTGTATTGAAACGATGGGATGCGGCTTTCGGCACTCTCATCTAATCTACATCTCTGGCAAAGCGAAGGATGGTAACAGTTAGCGGCAGTTCGTGTGACTGCCGTATTCAAGCGGCTGTGAGGAGTCTGCTCCTGCTGCACTCGCAGCTTCAGCCAGTTGAACAGCTCGTTTCATCTCATCTTCCTGAAAGTAATCATGGATCTTCTTCGCCAGGTCCTCATCACAGCTTTATGTACCCCAGCTTGCGAGCGTGACGTGGTGCAAGCTCTGAAACTAACCAACCCTGGTAACCCTCCTCCAGCTCGTCTAGGTTGGGATTTTCGACCATGCCTCCTGGCCGATTAAAGTCGGGCACGAGCGTACATGGGGACAGTTCGCCAAGGCTATGCATGCATGTTGGATGCTAAGGAACGGTGGAACTCCATGAATTCGTTTCGGAGAAGCTGGCGCCGGTGTCCAGGGTGGGCCTGCCAAGCCAAGCAAATTGCGATGCTGTCTTCTACCAGCATTGGCCCAAGGTGTATAGATGACCACCAGATAAACGAACTTTTCAACAGGCACGGTTGCATGTCCTGCTCCAGGTACTCATCGAAACCATTCCAAAACCGGTCTGCCTCCAACTTCAAGTCCACCTGGCAAGTTATGCGTGTGCTGAGTGGTTTAATGTTCATGTTTTGTCTTCCCGTGTCCCGCCCTTTGTGCATGCATGCATAGTACCCCTGCGTGGGTGCTTGGCGAAGACTGCAAACCCAGCCTCTACATCAACGATTCCACTTGCACTTTGCTGGCATCGATATCAACAGGTTGCCTGGTAGAACAATGCCTGTACATGCAAACTACGACTGAAGCGAGTGCAGTGATGTTAATGACACCTCTCGCAGTCAAGCTTTTAAAAGTTGATGGTCGCCGCTTGGCGGCTGGTAAGTCACGGCCTCTGCCCTGCGCGAAGTGCGAACAGCTCCACTCATGGAGGGGTGCTTGTTGACCCAGCAAGCTGTCCACACCGAATGCATCAAGGACCTATAATGCGCCTATACTGGCTGGTTTCAAGCTTCCAGAAGCTCTGACACTAGGTCCAGAAGCCACGGAGAGGACACGATTGTCAGGTGTTCGTCGTGGCAGCCCGGAGGGGCACCATGAAGGAAGACAGAGGCACCTTTCTCAACCCATCCAGCTTGTAGCCTCTCAGCGCTGGCTGCCGTGACTGTTCCATCGCCCGGCACATACTGGGATATTTTTGGGATATCCTGAAAATCTGCAGTTTCGAAGGTGAGCTGGTTGACGGTGTCCATGTTTCTGCCATAAAGAAAATGTGAAGGGACGGCCGGAGGCTGGAGACTCGACCAGACCTCCTGAGCATAAGGGAAGAAGTCGAAGCGCGCGGCGTCTTTTCCCAAAGCCTTCTCCAAGTCTCCGACAAACTCTTTGATCTCTTTGGCCGTGTAACCGCGCTCTGGCGTCACGACGATCTTGTGATGCGGATCAAAAGCTTCTGTGTCTCCAACGGTGAGGGGAAGCAAGCAGCCCATGGCAGGTGAGGAGATGGTGGCCTTCTTCCAGAAATTTTCGATTCCTTCGGGGAGAGTGCCCAGACCTGAAATGATGCCTATTGGATTATGCGCGTAGGCTGAACATCCCTTCGGGCAGCCCATGATGACGGGTGTGATAAAGATGACCTGGTCCAGGTACTTCCGCTGCCATGCACCGCCCATGGTCGACAGAACGTAAAGAAGCACGGAACAGCCCATCGAGTGACCAATCAACGTAACAGGCTGCTGCGTAAGCGTGAACTCTTCTTCTACCTGTTTTGCCAAAGACTCCGCGTAGCACTCCATGAAGCTCAGGTCCCCCCATCGTCGCCAGTCATAACTCGCAGATTGGAGTCGAAAGCGGTCTACGAGCTTCTCGATCAACTCATACAAAACAGGAATCATGACTTCCTCGGATGGGTTGATCGCAGCAACTCCATCTAAGCCAGGATATGGTCGAACCTCAACCCCATCCTGCTCCTTGGTGACGAACACCTCACGGCCACTTTTGAGCTTGCCAGGTGTTTGCTCCAGCTCTAAAGTATTTCGTAGAAGCTCGGGGGAGGTGACCACCGCCTCGATCGATGCCCAGGCGGTATTCCAACCCTCGCTTCTGCAACACGGCAGATAACACCCTGCATCAGTGCCGGGCTTGATCCGATTCTGCAGGGAACAGGCGGCAATCCCGTGTGCCAGGATTACAGTCTTGTTGCCCGACTGGGCCCGCGAGTTGTAGCTCGTATCATAGCAGCATTTCGCGATGAAATGCACGCCACCCATTGTCCGAGAGGCAATCCTAAATTTTGTTCTAACCCCGTCCTGCTCAGTCTTGCTGTTTGGATAACCGGCAGCACTAGACTCGGAGTACCACTGTGACCACATGTTCGCAAAGGGTTGTCATGGTCAACACCAAAACATGTACATCTGGCCCAGGGCCAACACAAGAATGGACATGCACAAGATTCCAGCGAGCTTCTGGCGAGGTAACTCCAAGAAGACGATAAGTTTGCTCTTGCAAATCACAGGCCATGTCCAGCCTTCGCGCCACCGAGTTCAACTTCACGTGACATCACCCGGCTGCTTGCATATGCCGGGAATAAGTGTGTGGGACGACTAGAACGACTCTGGAGCCACTCGTGTGGAACGCACAATGCAATTACATGGGGAACCGAATCTCACGAACATGGCTTCGCAGTATAGGCCACATGAGACAAGGACATAATGGTCGACAACGTGACGATCGGCAGAATGCCAAGCACTTGCGCAATTTTACTTTTCAGGCTCTGACATCCCCACCTACCGAACCATGACAAGTCCGCATGTTCTAGCGTTCTCAGCATCAGGTTCCAGATGGAATTTGTTCTGACCTCAAGAACAACTCCGTCAGGCGCGCAGGTGGATGGTTTTCTGAACTGTGACTTGTCATGCTTCCCTACGGTCTCGCCCGCCTTTTGGCAGCAACACCACGAAAGGCTCAGTGGCAATTTCAACGCCAGGGCCCGACATACCTGTATTATCTCCTGGGATAAGGAGTACGCGAGCACCTACTACACATACTTCGGCAAGGGCGCCAGGCACAACGAAAAGATTGCCACAAAGTTATGTAAAATTGTTTGCAGACAACACTACGATGGCGCCTCTCAGACTGCCACTCCTGCAGAAGCTGCATGACCACAGAATGCATACATTCCTTACACGTATCAAAGACATGATCTGCCATGTATGTCGCTGACAAGCGAATACAGAAGTCGCACTGCACAGGAGAGGTGCAACCCGTCCTAGATTCCCTCAATTCTTCTGAGGGTCCTCACAGATGCGGCATCGATACGCGGATTTCTGCAGACTGGCAGACTGCCTCCTTGTCAAAAATGTGTACTCGCACAAAGCCATCCTGTCACTGCGTGAAAGAGACGGACAGAGTGACATCGAAGCAGTCGAAGCAGCGGAGCCGCTCCCTGCCTCGGAGCCCGAGGCGATGGCCGAGCCGTCGCCGGCAAAGGCCAAGGTGTGGACCTGGCGGGTGGGGGGGCCTAGCAAAGAGGCCGCGAGGCCGCGCGCTTTCACGTTGCCCAGGCCAGGAGGACAGGACCAAAGTGACCTTTGTTGGTGACACCATCCGCCTCGCTAGAGGCAACAGCCCAGAACCGCGGAGCGGTGGAGATAAGTTAAAGGTTACAGCCATGCCTTCAGATCACTTGGCAACTTCTCAGCTGCGCCCAGGCGGAAGAGTAGCGTCCCGAACTGTTCGGTGGCACTGCTGCTCCGAGCAACGTCCCGGACATCCTGGCTTTGCTGCTTTGACAGACTGTCTTTTTTGGGCTGCTTTGACCCTTCATGCGATCCTGGCCACCAGCGGCGACCACGCAAATGCACCCTGGACGCTCAGCTGGAGCCTCGGGGGCCAACTGCTCAACTCTTCCGCGCAGAAAAGAACTACCGAGTCAGCGAGCGCGGTTGAGATCAAAGGCCGCAAAGGCCCCGGCGCCGAGGGCTTGCTTCTGCGACAGCGGGCCCAGGGCCACGGCATTGAGCGGCCGATCCTCCGTTTTTTTCATCGAGTGCCGGAGCCCAGAAAAAAAGGGTCCGAGTCGTCGTCCATTGAGCTGGGCTTCCGGCCGTCTGCGCCTTGTACAACATCCTCCACTCGGTTCCTGGAGTGTTGGGACGTCTCAAGAGCACAGAAGATCCTGACCACCAGGTGCTCTGGCCTTTTCCGATGTCCCATATGCAGACACTCATGTCCTCAGTGTCCATCTGAAACAGCGGAAATATGACTCTGCTCACACTCCTAGGTTCAGCTTTCTGCATCGCAGATGCAAGCGCTGCTTGCTGTGGGCAGTGATGGAGAAAGTGAAACATTCTACTGAGGACTACACGTGCGAGACGGTAGCCACAAGCTCGCGGTCATCATTGAAGTCAAACTTCGAAATGCCAGCGTCGTGGGCCTGTAAGGACGCGGGCATGGGGAATGAGAGTCCACCACAGTCCAACATTTTGCCTGCGTCAAAAAACGACACTCAGCCACTAAGATTGTGCATGCTTTGAAGGTTGGGCCTTCAGACGCTTCACTTCAGCGCCAGTGTCTGCTCGCCAAAAAATCAGCTCGCCTGGCAGTCCACTGTCTGTGTGCGTCTTCCACAATATGCGGCGCTGTCCTTTGACTGGATGCACAGCACTAGCAGAGATTCCACTGCAAACTGAACCAACAGACACCGGGAGGATGACCACTGTCGTGTGCGCTTGCAATGAAGTAGTTGGCCCTGCCCCATCTCACCTTGCAGGGACATCCCGAAAGAGTAACAAGTTGCTTTGGCAAACAGAACAAAGAATGTTGAAGCGGCAGTGGTAAATAGTGGTAAGAAACGGGAGCAAGACTACAAGTCGCTGGCTTGACTCAGGACCGTGATCCACCACAGGAGCAAGCAATGCTCGAACTCTGCTGAGGTGTTCTCGCCAACACATTCATTCGCAGTTGGCTCTGGACTGGCGAAAGGCATCTCCGAAAAGAAGCATCCTCCCATACCTCCCATACCCTACTGGCAGAGCGAAGCTCTATAGGCGCCTGGAGTGCTGCCGAAGGCAGCTTGGAGATAACACGAAGCTCCTGGCCAGGGAGGCACCATTCACTGGGAGAAAAGAGCTTCGAGCGAGGCCTGGATGGATTTGCCATCGAAGCGCCAAACCTTAAGCAGCAAAGCCCACGAGATAAATAGCCATGGTGGCTTCAGCTAAGGACGCGGCGGTCAATGCAGGGGGATGGGCACCAAAGCGATTGTGCGCAGTCCTTGGCAACTCAGAATGGTTTCGGAAGATGCGGCTCCAAAACTAGCGCTGGAATGGCTCCGGCGAGTAAGGCAAGGGCACAAAGCGCTCACTGACGTCCGAGGCATTCACACCAGGAGCTGAGAAAGGACGGGATTGCTCAGATTCAGTGCTACATAGCCCTTAGTGGAAACATTATCTGAAACGTGCGGAGGACGAGCCTGCTCCGGCCCATTCTACACATCGCACAACACCAGGAAGTTCCACGCGGGCAAGCTCCCTTGGCTGGATTGAAAGCCAGAGCTCCAGAGCTCCACCACAAGCCAACCAGGGCCGCGGTGTGCAAACGGAACTCACGCGCACCGGCGCGTGCCTCGAGGTATGAGCCTCCCAGACGATGACCAGCCGGTCTGCGCCGCACGTCACAAGCCACCTGCAAAAGGAAGGCCTACTTTAGCAGTAGCAACATTTCACCGAGGACGTGCGAAGAAAGGCAGGAGTGTTGCAGCACTTCTTTCTCCAACTGCACGTCAGCGAGGGCTCGCACAGACCGACACTCTTGCTGATCCGCTGAGGCTTTGCTTCTCAACCTCGTGTGCCGGTGCTCGAACATCATTGCATATCCCCAGGTGGTGCAGACCAGGTGCTGGACTGTCAAATTGTTGACCCGACCCTGCACCGCTTCTGTTGCGGCTGACAGCAGCCTGTGATCACAGTGCTGCAACTGAGCATAGGACCACACAGTGTTCGACAAGTCTTGGGGCTTGAAAAGTTCAAGTCTGGCCAGGGCGTACTCAGAAAAACCGTGCAAGAGCGGATGATCGTGATGACCTGTCTCGGCCATCGCCCAGACACAGTTCACAGCCGCCTGGATACTGAACTCTCTTAGCCTCTCCGAAACATGGCTCGCTGCTTCCAAAAACAACTCTGGCTCATAGCATCGCGCCTTTGCAAATGCCCAAAGCGAGTTAGAGATGTTCTGTGGTGAAAACTCTCCCAAGCTTTCCGTCGTGGTCTCTGCCATGACTGTATACACCGCATGGTCAGCACGAAGCCGAAGCTTGGCAAAGGCCCAGACCGTGTTGGCCAAACCTTGTGGCGTGAATCCTGGTACAGCGGTTCTCGAGAACTCTGCTAGGCGGTTGAGTTGCAGCTTCGGATTCCGTACCTCAGCTGTTGCGAAGGCCCAGATGATGTTGGCCAGCCCTCGTGGTTGAAATTCGGGAAGGGACTTGATCACAGCCTCCGCCAGAATCTCGAAGAGTCCTTCGTCTTTGGCTTTGGAAAACTTCGCAAAGGCCCACGTCGCCTTGGCGAGCTCTAGAGGTGCCAGCTCACCAATCCGCGGGCTCAGTGTCTGCGTCAGGGCCCCTAGCAGTCCTCCAAGAGACAGCGAGCAACAAACAGATTTCGCTGAAAGGCTTCGCAGGTCAATCCTTCGTCACGATGTTGCAGCTTCGCCATGGACCATGCGAGGTCAGCTAGGCCACGTGGATCGAAAAGGCCAAGGTTCCTCTGAACCCCTGCAGACAGGATCTCCAAGATCTCCGGCTGCAAGCACCTCCAAACTCCGACCCCATCTTCACAAAACTGCAGGATCTGAGCCCTTCCAGCCTCGCCCTGGCGAATTTCCAAGGTAGCTTCGTGAGCCACTGCACCGGCAGCTCGTCACCTAGGGAAAACGACCGACAAAAGTTGTTGCTAATTACCGTGTTCATCGTAAGTGTTGTCGGTATCGTCGTTGTCGCTGTCCTCCTCATTATGGCCATTATGTGTAATCATGGCTTTCGAAGTGGCCAGCTTCGCCGATGACTCTTACATTAGAATTAGAGTAAGGACGTAGTGGTTCGTTTGGGCTTGAAGCTCGTGCGGATATTCTGCGCTCCCGCTGAGGCAAGGTGCATGCTTTGCGCTCAGAGCGCCCCCTCTTTCCAGAGTCCCGCTCAGGCCCTGTCCTCCGGAGACCGGATCTCATTATAAAATCCAATACAGTCAGTACATTACCCTTCTTGTTGCGTTCGAAAGGCTCGAAATGTCCAAATTCTTGACAGGGTCAGCTATCCGGCCTCTCGTGCTCGTTCGTCCGGTCCTCAAAACCCGCCGTTACATTCCCGCACCTGCATTTCGCCTCCGACATCGCACTCCGGCCAAAGTGCAGGCACATTTTGCTTGCGCCTGGTGCTTCCGGAACTTCTAAGTGCCCAACGTGCTGACAGGGCCGCACTAGCACTAGTTGCCCTCTGTGGCTCCTCCGTGTGGCCCACACCAGCAAAGGCTGTCCTCACAACGCTGGAAGTTCCTGAAGACCACACTATGAAGCTCCTCGGAATCCTGGTGGTTGTCTTTGTGGTCGTGGTCATCGCCGTGGTCCTGGTCGTAGTGGCGTCCTGGTCGCCCTGGTCGTCCTGGTGCCCTTGTGCTCGCTGTGGTCCTGGTGTTGCTGGTGGTCCTCGTAGTCTTGATCGTCTTGGTCATCGTGGTCTTCGTTTTCGGCGGTCCTGGCTGATGATCCTGGTCGGATTGGTCGTCTTTGTTTTCTCTTGGTCTCGTGGTCGTCGTGCCCTGATTTTGGCATCGGAGCGATCAGAAAAATTAAGCAACAGTGACTGCGTGTCGTTTTTGCCGCTGCTGCTACTACTGCTGACTACTATACTTCTACGGCTACTGCTACTCCCTTCCTGCTGCTCCTATTGATACTGCTGCTGCTACTACTACTCCTCTTCGTCCTCCTGCTGCTCGTTCCTTCCTTCCCCCGCGACAGAAGTCAATGGATCTGCCAGCGTGCCAGTGAGCGAGCCTGTAAGCCCGACCTCCCGTGGGTGGCGTTGTCCTGCTGCTGCTACTGCTACTGCTACTGCTACTGCTACTACAACTGCTGCTGCTATACTACTACTACTACTACTACTACTACTACTACTAACCACTACCACTACGACTACCACTACGACTACCACTACCACTACCGCTACCACTACCACTACCACTACCACGACCACTACCACTACCACTGCCGCTATCACTACCAGTACGACTGCTGTTATTGCCGCTGCTACTGCCGGCCACTGCCACCGCTACCGCCATAGCCACTGCTACGTACTCACTGGCCTTCGTAGTGGAAGTCTCGGTACTTGCAAGGATTCTTCTTAGTTTTTGTCGCCCTGTGAAACACTCTTTCCCTGCTCTCAGCTGCCCAGGCACAGCGGCGAAGCGCCGTCGAAACATCACACCACATCTTTGGATCCTGCACCTTTGCGCTGGCCATGGTGGAGGCCAGAACCATTGCCTTCCGTGAACTGACAACATGTAGGAATCGGGACCACCTGTGTAAGAATGAATACCGTGAACATGAAAACATCTACAATTCTGACCGCAACTTCGCATCATCGCGTCATTTGACTACTGTCATTGGTGATGCTTGTAAGAGAGAGAGGGAGAGACGGAGACAGAGCAGTTCTTAGTAATATCATCAGTCAGTATTAGGGCCCCGCAGGTTTATTGGAAGGTAAAAGCTAATCATGTTCTGATGAAAACACCTCGAGAAGATTTGCCATAAGACGGTTTGCATTCTATTTTTTTAATGATGTGTACACAACATTCAGCTGGCTTGATCGTGTCAGACAGCTTGTTAACTTAATGAGTTGCTGCAGGACTATTGAATGGTGAGATTCTTAATACTCATGGAACACTCAGACTCGCGATAACAACAGACCCGAAACCTAAACTAGTGCAACTAGCCCCAAAATCATCCAAGAACATGGACCGCGAGATCCTTTGTCTAGGCCAGTCCACGCGATCATCCCTTTTTCAATGCTTTCTTTTGTATGCCTGCATATGTGTGTATACAGAAAGAAGAGAGGCAGAGAGATCTCGATCTAAATATAGATATATATATATATATACGTACGTGTATATATAGATATATGTAGATAGACATATGACATGGATCTAGACATAGATATATGGATAGATAGGTAGATGGATGGATAGATAGATATAGATGTAGATACAGATATAGACCCGGACATAGAAATAAAAAAACATATTTATATGTAGAAATAGATACAAACACAGATATGGATATAAAGACAGATACAGAACTAGACATAGATACGGATATAGGTATAGACATCGATTGCCATAGATATACATGTATAGATATTGATGGATGTAGATTTAGATACAAGTATAGATATAAGTCCTTTAAGTATCGGTATAGGTATGGAGATAGACCTAGATATACATACAGATGCAGGTATAGATATAGTATAGAACTAGATATAGATGGATACAGATGTATGTGCGTGTATATATATATATATGTGTGTGTGTGTGTGTATGTGTGTATGCGTCTGTGTGTGTGTTCGGGTATACATACATACATACATACATACATACATACATACATACATTCATATACACATATGTGTGTATGTAGATGGCTCACATTTGAAAACTGCAGACACTACTCAATCTGCCCTTTTCTTCTAACCGTACAAGACAGTGATGCTATTTATTGACCTGCTGCTAGTAATGCAATCGTCCTGCCTCGTCTGCTGCAAGGACTGGACCATTCAGCTGATCTCTCAATGCCTGCAGAAGGTCCTCAAGCCATCCAACAGCTGCAGAAGAACCAGAAGCCAGGTCCCAGAATCAGTTTTCGAGAGTTAGTCTGAGCCATTCTAGCCGAGATGCCGGACGCGCTCCTTGCGTCCGAACCTTGACAAGCAAGTCGGCAAGCGGCGTGGCCCTGACAGCTGGAGACATCCGGTACGCACAGAAGCCCAGTGGTGGCCACGGTCCTGCGCAGTTCGAGCCATTCAAGGTTGCTTCCTTACACAGCATGCGGCCAAAAGTCGCACCTGGATCGCAACACAACCATTCGCAAGCACGGCGCTGCCGTCTGTGCTCGCATCGGTTGCATCGCGTCAAGCAAGATGTTGTGAAATTAACGCAGTCGGGCTAATTAGTTGTTCGCTCTGAACCTAGCTGTGCATTTGGAGGCTGCGCTTCTTTCAAAACAAAGAGCGACACATGACGTTGTTCTGCTTGAGCCAACGCACAACCCAATTCATCTCAGCTCAAAATGATACTACTGAGGGAGGTCTGTGACATTCAAGGGATTCCAGGGCACGGGTCCTGCAGAACAACTGCACATTATGTAAGCTGGGTATCCCCGGCCTGGAGTCAAACGTAGCACTGCAGGACCACACCTGGCATTTGCGAGCAGAAGCACTTCGTGGAGCCTTGCTCATTGAAAGTGCCAGGGTGGCGGCTCCATTGTGGCCCCGGTAGCTGCCAAGAAGCTCTCCATCCGGAAAGCTCCACACGCAAACGAGCTTGTCCTGAGGTGCGCGGGACACGGATGCACACAGAATCTGGCGCGACAGACTCACGTCCTTGCCACAGGAGAATAGAAGATTGTTCTCATGGTTGAATGTGATGAAAGTCACCTGAGGAAGGCATGCGATTGGTTGTCTGCGGCACGAGGATCGTGCGAAGGTGCAGTGCACCTCAAACATCTGCTTCATTTCAAAACCCCCCAGTGCGCGAAAAGACGGTTCTTCTGACGGATGCATGACTTTACAACTCTAGGGTCAAGATGGAATTATCTTTGCTTACCCAAACTTTCCTGCGTAGTCGGACCGAAGCGAACGTCTGAACACAGAAATTGAAGGCGGATCAAGGCAAAGCTGTGAACCTCGTCATGTAGTGATCTGCAGTAGGCTGGTTGCATCAACACACGATCTTCGCCACCAAAATTCTCAGCAGCACAGTGCTCCCACAGTCAACCGAGGATCCAGCCGGCCTTTCATGCCCGCGCAATGTGGGACCTTGAGCATCGTGCCTCGGTTTTCTGTGCACAGGAGAGCAGGAAATTACGAGATCGCTGTAGGCTGCAATGACCCCGACGCAAGAGAGTAAACCGAACCGTCGCAAGTCCAAAAAATGCAGTGCCACGAGGGCCTGAAGCCACGTGCAGAATCAACCGAAGACAAAGTGCTAGTACCAGAAGCTTCAAGACGAGACCAGGTTAGCTTCAAGAAAGAAGACAACCGGTCGCTCCATCGACAGAGGCGGCATGAGGCGACGACCCTGGCTTATTGACAGTCACAGCCGGTCGCTCCGTCACGCCCGGATCGGCATCGCCCTCAGAAGAATGGACACCATCAAGAAATGCTCTGACAGATCTGTTTCTCGCGGTCAAAACTCAAGGCCCGTGCTTGCGATCGCTGTCTGAGCTCCAACGGCTCGCCACTTTTGCGTGGCTGCCACATCTCTTTCGGCTTGGAGACCTGTTTGCACCATGACAACTCGGCCAATGAGCTCTGGTTGACGATGTGCTTGGCCACAGGCCTTCTCTATGATGGAATCGAAGTCAGCTGCATCCGTGCCGGAAGCAACTCCTTTTCTTTGCCGGGGTGCCGTCGCGTACCTGTGCGACGCACGCAAGCCAAGTGTGAGGGTTTCCTCAAGTCAGTTCGATGGTCGCACGGATCGCGTCCTCAGTGTTGAGTCGCACGATCAGCTCGGAAAATTTGACGAAAAGCAATGCACGGGGGCTGAGCGTACGGCTAGGCTGCAACCGCGAGACTGGACGACTGTTGCCCCGAGACCTGCCAAGAGTTGACAACAAACTGCCAAGACCGGCTGGCATGGTCTAGGAATGCTTCAATGGACAAGGCAGAGAAGCCAGCCTGAGACCATTGGATCGTGCTCGCGAATCTGAGAGTTCCGACTCATTCTCCTCCTCCTCTTCTTCTGCTTCCTGACCAGACAATGTCGTGTTCATGAACAGGCTAATCTCCGCAAGCCACCGTCCATACAAGGCCTGCTCTGATCTTTGCCGTACCAACCTCAAGTTGAATCAGACTCGTCGCATGCACCAAGCACTTCTTGGTCCAATGCACGAACTGGAAATTGTCAGTCTCACCGATCATGGCGAAATCACGGCATGCGCTAGCCTGCTTGCACTCAAACTTCCCCAACAAGCTTCTGGCCAAGCCAGAAAAAGCACGAGCACTACTCGCAGGAGCCATCGGATCACGGTGGTCACCTGCAACACTTCTTGATGTCTCACAAACACACGAAACTCGTCCAAACAACGGCCACAAACGCGCGGTCTGTCGAGGAAGGAATGAATCTCTTGAATGTATGTAGCCCCTGGTCGACTCGCTCCTCTGGCTTCTGGAAGTCAAACCCGAGCATGTCAACCTCGTGCATACTGACCGCTGCTGAATTCCTATGCACACAAGTGACATGCAAGCGTGTCGGTTCACCATGTAGCAAATTGATACACAACATTAGGGAGACTTGCCCTACGCGTCTGATGAAGCGGTTCTCGATGCAAGCAGACAACCTTATGCCACACACCCATGGCGGTCTCGTACAATACTGCGACAAGAGCTGCTAAACCACATACGCAACACATCTGAACATCTCGCACACTGGCAGCGAAGACATGGATGATAAACGTCTTAAACCAATGCAGCCCAAGCACTTGAAGACATGGCCGAACAGAACATGATGTTGCAGCTGTCAACTATACAATGCAAATCTTGCAGGCTGTCACGAGTCACAGGAAGTAAGAACTGGATCCTCTTGTTCTGGCAACAAAGCATGCTTGCCATAAACAGCTTTTCCATCGTCAGCACCTACTGCTACACTCATGCATACACCCAAGCCTGCGGGCGCACATATTGGTATGTGTACATACGTGTGCATGCCTGCGGGCGCACATATTGGTATGTGTACATACGTGTGCATATGTTTGTGTGTATGCATGCATGTATGAATGTATGTATGTATGCATGTATGTACGTACCATCACATATGTATGCATTGCATGTGTATGTTTGTACGTATGTGCATACATATGTAGGTATATACATACATGTATATATACGAAAATATGTATATATAGTGATGTACGTGTGTATGTGTGTATGCAGATTTGTCCGGCATCAAGCTCTACTTCGATGCAAAAGCTGCAGGGCGCAACATTCCATGCCGCAACGACACATTGAGTTTGGCTTGCATTCCTTGGGAACTTAATGAAAGATCCCGCCAAGGAAAGCGGGCGCTACTTCGCGAAGCGGTATGCGGTTCACCTAAACCCCGAAACAGCTCGAACTGTTGTTTGCGCCCATCCTTCCCTTCCTGCAGTCCAGTGCTCCCGCTCCTGATCTTGCAACTGGAGGTGAAGGACATCAATCATGCACTCGACAACAGCATCCCAATCGCAGAGTGAAGCCTTTCGCCCTTGCAACAGCATGTCAGTCATGTAGCAGGATCAGGGGCAAGACACTCCACCGTTGTGGTTGAAACCTCAGAGACATCTCAACTCCCAACTCCATTCTTGTTAATCAGATTCCTTAACCTTATAACTTGGGACTGCACTTAGACTGGCCCTTGATTTAGAACACTCCCACATCTCAAAAAATAGTTGGGGCATCCACAGATGCAACACCGAAGGAACCTGGGGACGCTTTGGATTCCCAGCTTCCAGCGGATTTCTTTCGCTCTCTTTTTCTGTACTCCGCGAAACGAAAAGCCCACATTCCAGGTGACTAGGCGGCCAATGTGCTTCTAGGCAACAGTGACGATCTTTCCACAGAACGCAACCGAATGCCTTTCTTCTGACTACTCCTCGTCTGTGGAGGGCGGGTAGATGGGCACGCATATCGGCACAGCGCGCAAAGCTTTGGCCAATCCAAACCTGAAATGGGCGCGTCAGATTAGGGCGACTTCCCACTGTGAGCAACCCATGCGCAGCCTCGCTGGGAGTGTGAAGCCGCTGGAAGTGTGAAGCCGAGCGCTTCACACAGAACAAAGATCCAGCTTCCCAAGAGGGGCTCATCGTCACAGTGTAGCAAGACTAGGCAATTTTACTGCATTCTACTGCTACGCATCCGCCATGAAGAATTAGAACTCCACAAGCCTAAACCCTATCGCTGTTTCAGGTCAGCGCCCTGAAAGACTTCGTTGGAATGTGGAACCTGGGGCTTATAGGGTCTAGGATACCACAAAAGGGCTGCAAAGAGACAAGCTGCTGGGATCAAGTCAATTATCTGCCTGCTTCGGCCATGACTCTGGCCTTCTCAATCTAAGATCTTACAGTTTGTGTCTCGGACAAAAAGAGTTCGGAATTCGTCGAGGGCCAGCGATAGTCAAATCTTGTCAAGGAGCACCCTGGACAGAATCGCCCAAAACACTGAACTGCCCGCAACCCCTGCACGTCGGCAACTGAAACCTTGCCTGAGCTCGAGCCAAGGCTCACAATGTATCACATGACACCGAGAAAAAAGATGACAACAGGCACAAATCATTCCTGTGGCTACCCAACCATCCGAGAAGCTTCCTTCCCAAATGTATGCGACATCGGTGCAGGTCTCAGTCCACCGGTTTTATGCGACATGCGGAGCTGAGATTTTGAAAAGAGAAGGTTGGAATCGTAAGGACAAGATTCTCATGCATCAAGGCTGCAGGTTTTCATCCAGCCTGCCTTCCAGGCGGCGCAGCTCCAGCTCAGACCTCTAAGGTTGAGAGACAGAGTGCAAGATCTTAGGCTGCAACACCGATCACCCACAAAGGAATTTTGTCTTGTGAAGTTCTCAAATCTCAAACTCAACCTTCGTTTCACGCCGCCTATTGCAGCTGCTCTGGTGGGTTGGTTTAAGCCGCCAAAGGCCAAACCATGGTGCAGCCTATCTTAAGTTCAGCGCTGGCAGCTGCCAGGACTAGCATCGGCGATTGACTTTCTGCATGATTCAGTCCAACAGCTACAAGCGCGTATTTTCGCTGAGTACTGGGGAGGCCACCCCCCGCGGACCTCAAACCATACCAATTTTTCGGATCCGAAACCAGGGGACACGTTCCAGCTTGATGAGTACAACAAGTCCGACACAAAGCTCTTGCAAAACTGAAACGCGCAGATCATAACGTGTTGGACGCCTCTCAATGCTGAAGGAACGAAGAGACTGAAAAGTACGTC